CAGGAGAGGAAGATTGGCTTAATCCTATGGAAGGTATAACAGTACTATATAATTTTGATGTTATTTATAATAGTGTTATTATGAACCTGGCACAAATGTACTAGGACTCTACTCTGATTTCAAATCCTAATGTAGATAGGATCCAAATAGGAAGTATCATAATATATAATATACATCAAGAATCATAAACTAAACATATCTTTGTATAAATCGTCCATGCTAATAAGTTTACTTAAACCAATTTCATTTAAACTAACATTTCAATTAGATTTGAAAGTCTTAAAACTTATTCCCTGCAACTTGCAATTTAACTCATGAGAAGTGATCTTAGAGGACTGGTGAAAATGAGATAAATTACTGTTTACATGAAAGATCACTAATTCACAACCCTCTGCCTAGCGTCGCTGTTCAGTTATTCATTCAATAATATTGAATTCTTTATTCACTAAATATTGCCTGTGCACCCAAAATTTTGTACAGATCTCTGCAGGGCATATCAAATTAAATCAACACTAATTCTGTCCTCAGAGCACTTACCATCCTGTAAAAGAAATGGAAAATTTATAAAAGGAGTCAAGTACCACAAGTCAGGCAAAGAAAACTATCATGGGCATTCAGAAGAGGGAAAGACTATTCCAGCTGAGCATATGATGAGCAGAGTCATGGCAAAGATCTTTCTACTATGAAGAATGGAATACCTTTGTACCTGCCCTAGGATTAATCCCAATTAATCAAAACCAAAAACTAATTCCAATTAGTCAAAACCAGTACTATGCGTATTTTTCATTTACTAAGAAACAGTGTGTACACCTAATGATAAACCTAATGATTAACCTGTGAATTAGGGTTCCATCCATTAATGTGCGACTATTAAAATAAGCCAGAGTGAGTTGTAATGATGTCCCATAGGTGATTTCTTGATGAATGCTTCAGGGATGAGTCTCCCATAGCTATCCATTCAGGTACAAATTCTTCTACTGTGGAGATTTTTGAGGAGGCTAAGAAATCACTATCCCTCCACAGGTAAGTCTGATAGTCCTGAAAATCAATAACTCTTAAGAAATATTCCTTGATATCCTATTACTTCCTCTTCTGAACATAAAATGGAATTGCTAGTGGGCCTAAGAATTGTCATATTAAGACAAAATCGTAGGCTGACTCCAGACTCTTTCTGACACAGGTGGAAGGTGACTTGTGATATATTAGAAGGCCAGGTGGGCTTTGCATCATACTATCCCTGACCTGAGTCACAGACCCGTTTCACAACACATCTAAGATTTGGAGTAGGCTTACATGTTGAACTTTAGCCAACTGTTGGAATTCAGAAAGTCCATACATCATACTTCCATTGTAACTTATATTTCTCCTCCAAGTCTAGAGCCTTAGAATTTGGAACAAAAATGTATACTCCCACTCCATATACTTTTAATAACTTCATACAGTTATTATTAAGTGAAAAGTTTAAAGGGGTTTTGCTAAATGAGTGTAAAGTTAAAGGTGAAAAGGAAAAAATAAATGTGAATATCATTCCTTCCTCATCTGAAGGGCTTTTCTTAAGCTTTCCCAGTTAAGTTTTGCACTGAAATATGATGGCATTGCTGTATCCAGGATGACCAAAACAAGTTTATATTGTTTTAGTCAAGAGGAATACACTTTTCTCTACTGTGTTTGTGTCTTTTCCCAACATTTCTATGGATTTTATTGACTTTTCAGCTTAGCCATCCCATCTGGCCTAAGTTTTCAGAAAACATTTCATAGGGCTTAAAGATTTTTGGTTTTCTTTCCCCTGCATTGAATATAGATCTTTAATTCTTACTTCCACTAAGCATAATTGTGACTGTTTTAAAAAATTCTATTATTTGATTTGTAATGATTTTATACATTTAATTAAAATCTTCTTTTGGAATATCTTTATTTCTTCCATTTATTCACTCACTTTCTGCTTGAAATGAGAGAGAAGGGCTGAGTGAAGAAGACGGTCTCAACAATTTGGAAAGCATCCATCTAGTGGAAGTTCATGTCATTGTAGGCTATGCCACATGAAATAAGACTTAAAAAGTCTCAGACATCATTAAACACAAATGATCTGTACTGCCGTTTTTAAAACTCTGAATGTTTTAGTGAGAATGATGACACACAAGTTGTTCTCCACTCCCTCACTTCAGTTTATAACTTGAAATATAACTATACTAAATCTACTTTCACAACTGGAGTTTCTTTTTTTGAATCCCAGAAATTAAACCCTGGACTCTGTGTAATAAATAACAGAATATGTGACCTTTAATAAGAAAGTTTACTTTCTTTTCCTTCTATTTCTTTAGTGCAAGAAGACTTGAGATATGATCTTGAAGATTCCCAGAAAGATTCTCTCTTTTCCAGCTTCCTAAAATCAACAGAGTACTATAAGAGCCAAAGTCAGAGGCTGTGGTATTTCCTTCTTCAAACTAATGGAGAAAAACTTTGTGTACATTAGTGACAGCAAGTTCTACACTTAGAGGGTCTTTGTGGCAATATCTCAGGATCCACTGTAAGGGGAATGTATAATCTATCAGAGGGTAGAACCAAGTGATAAAAACTCTTTTATTTGGTTTAAACATATTTCAATTATCTCATTCAGTGCTTCAATCCTGGCTGTGTATTAAAATTATGTAGAAAGATTGTTAAAATATACCAATATGTGTACCCCACCTGAATTGAGCTGGGACCCAAATATCAGTGATTTAAAAAATTCCTCACATGGGGCTGGCCCCGTGGCCGAGTGGTTAAGTTCGCGCGCTCCTCTGCAGGCGGCCCAGTGCTTCGTTGGTTCGAATCCTGGGTGCGGACATGGCACTGCTCATCGGACCACGCTGAGGCAGCGTCCCACATGCCACAACTAGAAGAACCTACAACGAAGAATGCACAACTATGTACCGGGGGGCTTTGGGGAGAAAAAGGAAAAAATAAAAATCTTTAAAAAAAAAAAAAAATAAATAAAAAATAAAAAATTCCTCACATGAACTTGATGTGAAGCTAGAATTGATAACCACCAATCAAAGTGTGAGATTTGTTAATATATGATTTAATAAAGCAATAGAGTTATTTTTGAAAGGTATTAGCTTTCTTTGTCTTCCAAGCCTTTCAAAATTTGCTGTATTGATTAAAGGTGATTCATTTCTTCAGTCCTCAGTTAATTTTCCTCCTGTTTCCATCAGTCTAACGTGCAAATTTTAAATGTCAATTATCAAGGTTTTAGGTCAGGCAACATTTTCATTAGTTTGTGTTCTTAAAACAGACCCCTGATTGTGCTCCTCCTGTACATTGTTTACATGCCAGCTAGAGTTTATTGTATTAACTCAGTCTCTACTAGTAACATCAGGGAGGTAAGAAATCTACATTCGGTGAAAAGTCAACTGATGTGAGTTGGCAAATTTACTTCCTTGATTTATTTATTCAACTAATGGATACTGTGGATTGAGTATGATTCAAGCATTTGCCCAAGGTCTGGGAATATGGCTCAAATAAACTTGCTGCTCTGTGTGTCTAACATTCTAATAGAGGGGACAGAAAAAAATATGTAAATAAAAATTATTCATATAAATAATAATTTTAGAAGTGATAAATGATACTAGAAAAACTAGAAAACTAGAAAACTTGTCATGGTTGACAAGGTATTTGGAATGAAGCTAATTTATACAAATGGTTAGGCAATGCCTTTCAAAGGAAATGCTATTAGAAAAGAGATCTAAATAAAGTGACAAAATGGATCACTCAAAGGTCTGAGGGGAGAACATTCTAAGTAGAGGGACCAGTATGTGCAAAGGCCTCCAGGTAGGAATATACTTAGCATGTTTAAGAAACAGTTATAAGGTTAATGTGGCAGGAGAAGAAGGACTGAAGACAAAGTGGTCAAAGGGTTTGTAGAGGTAGATAGGAAGGCATCACATAAGTCCTTGAAGGCACTGTGATGTTTCTTAATAAATTTAGATTTTAGCCCAAGTGTGGTGGAAAATCTTGGACTATTTCACCAAGTCAGTAACATGATGTGATTTATGTTTATAAAGACCACTGCCTTGCATTGGGTGACAGAAGATTTCAAGTGTGGAAGAAGGAAGATCACTATAGTAGCTGAGGCAAGAGATAATTTTGTCTCAGATATGACTGGTAGCAGAGGAAATGCTGACAAGATGTTTTCTGAGGCAATGTGTAATATTTTAAAGGTAGAGCAAAGAAGACATCCTGGTAGTTTAGATTAAAGATGTTAAGTCAAGGGTATGAGATAAATTGAAATAAGAGTATGAAATATGTATGAAATATAAAATAATTTGGGACATTGTGCAATACAAAGAGATTAATGAGATAAAAGGGCATATTAAGTGAAGAAACAACCCAGACTACCAGGTGGTTATTTGAAACAAAGGAGATGGGATGGACAGAATTCCAAGGGACCAGGAGAGGTTCATTGCTATTGGAAAGTAAGTAAGAAATGAGGTAGAAACTGAACCCAAATAAACATACAATGGGCTCTCAATAATTATGTGTTACTCCAATTACAGAATTTTTGGCTCACCTGACAGTGATAGAACAAGTCTACAGAGAGTCATTCATTCTCTTCATTCCCTGGTCAAACATTTATGCCATGATCCACTACAGTGGTAGCCATGTTTGAGGATGAGGAGTTTTGATTCCATAGCCTGTTTAGAGACATCAGTGAGCTAAGTCAAATTCCATTGTGCTAGCCAAGTTAAGGTGGGGGTTGCAAAGCAGCCAGCAAAGTACAGTGCATAAGCTTCAAAATATGTTTTCCAATACAATGTCCACTTTAATCAGCATGACTAACCACCTGAAGGAATTCATTGAAACTCTTCCATCTCTGAGGGAAATGGCAACTGATTTAAACCACTCTTTTCAAAACCAGTTTCTTTAAGTGCAGATTTATTTTGTCTATTCATGCATTGCATGTAATTTATTTCTCTCTTTATATCTGAACATTTACTCTTCTCTTATTAGAGAAAATGAAGATGGAGAATGTTCCCCAACACAATGGCACTGAGGCAACAGAGTTCATTCTACTGGGATTGACCAGTCAATGAGAGCTGCAGCCCATCCTTTTCCGGGTCTTTCTCCTGATTTACCGCATCACTATGATCAGGAACTTTGGATTGATTTTATTAATCAGAATTAATCCCAGGCTGCAAACCCCCATGTACTTTTTCCTCACCCATTTAGCATGCGTGGATATTTTTTATTCTACAAATGTCTCTCCTCAGATGCTTGTTAATTTCTTATCTGAGAAGAAAACTATTTCCTACACGGGGTGTTTGATCCAATGTTTTGTTTTTGTGACTCTGCTCCTTACTGAATATTACATGCTTGGTGCCATGGCCTATGACAGGTACATGGCAATCTGCAATCCCCTGCATTACAACAGCAGAATGTCCAGGCCACTTAGTATCTGCCTGGTCACTTTTCCCTGCTTCTGGGGTTCCATGGTCGGCACAGTGCAGGGAATATTGACCTCGCGTTTGTCCTTTTGTGGACCCAACACTATCAATCATTTCTACTGTGTTGACCCACCCCTCTTAATGTTGACATGTTCTGACACTTACATAAAGCAAACTGCCCTGTTTGTATCTGCAGGGATTAACCTCACGGGTTCCCTACTCATCATCATCATCTCTTATGTTTTCATTTTCCTCACCATTATGAGGATTCGTTCCAGTGAAGGGCAGTGTAAAGCCTTCTCCACCTGTGGCTCTCACCTGACAGCTGTCACTATGTTCTATGGGTCCCTATTCTGCATGTATCTGAGACCAGCAAATGAGCAGTCTATTGAACAAGGGAAAATTGTGGCCGTGTTTTGCATTTTTGTCAGCCCCATGCTGAATCCATTTATCTATAGTCTGAGGAACAAGGATGTGAAAGAGGCTTTGAGAAGAGTGTTTATGAGAAACCTTAGGATAAAGGAGAAAAGTTCCATTTTGACAGTCTCCCAATGAAAAATAGAAAAAAGAATCTCAAAAACAATCAAGGGTATCTCTTGTTGGTGGTGCTTGAATGCCAATCTCTGGAATAACAATAATATGTTTTATGTATGCATAGCTTGGGATCAAGTGAGGATATAGTGGAAACAATGAATGGAAAACTTGTTTGGAAATGATGATTGATAGGAAACAAGAACAGATATCAGCTGTTTATGATTAAGCAGGGTTATGTTTTTAGTCTTATTCAAGAACTCATTTCTACTTGATTAGTTAGCAGATAAATTCTTCCTTTCACTTCCTAGGTCATCAGTATTGAGAATCACTGAGTCATCCTATCAGTAAAGAAAGTACTTTACATCATATTTCCTCAATATGAAAATGATTTACTTTCATACAATATATTTCCTGTAATGAAAGCTGGTTATCTTCCAAAAAGAATCTCATATCTCTAATTTCAGATGTTTGTTCTCAATACCCTTTTGGTACATTTTTGTGTCTACTTCTCTTGAATATAAAAATATATCTGTTTCCACATGTGTGGTGATGGATTATAACTAGTCTTTGTGGGGGTGAACATGATGTGATCTACACAGAATTAGAAATATATTATGATGTACATCTGAAAGTTATATAATGTTATAATCCAATGTTATTATTATAAAACAAAAATTAAAAATAAGAAACTCAAAAGAAAATAAAAACATAAGCGTTTAATTTTTTCAACAAAAACCCTGACATTTTACATTTTAATAACCCAAAAGATGTGTTTCATTAGTTTCCTTTAATAAAAACAGACACTCTTATTAATTGGAGAAAACCATTCCTGATTCATTTCTTACATACGAAGTTCATATCATTGTGTCCCTACGATATTAAAATTAGTTGTCCTGTAATTTCATGTATTACCTTTGGTTTTGTGTCTACTCACAAACTATTTAAAAAGAACCACTACTCTAATATGCATGAAAATGTGGTTTCAGTGTTTTACAACTAAATAGTAGCATAAGCATATTCTAGATTGTTTGATACTATTTGAAACTGGTCTTTATTTAAGAGCATGGCATAACATTGATATGAAACATTTTACTACATCATTACCCTAATATTCAGGGAGTTTTTATTTTTCCCTCTTTAGGAAAATCTTTATACATGTAAGTCATTTTTTCTGATCAGCTATTGTATTAAGACAGATCTCCACAGTTTTATTTTTACTTCTTTTTATATTTCTTTCTTTTTGGATGCAGTGATGTGTGAAATCACCACCAGCAAACAAGTATACTAGTTTCCCTGCATACTCAAAAGCCCTAGGAGAGTTCACTTTATTGTGTTTATGTGTGAATGTAGTAGATATAAATTCAATAAAGACAATATTCATGTGTCAGATACAATTTATTGGTATTCAACATTAATTGATTTTACTTTATCTAAATTTCGTAGTATACTAGTTACTATGTTGATGATGTTTAAGTTTAAGAAGAAGATGAAAACACCCTTTTTATTTTTTTGAGGAAGATTAACTCTGAGCTAACTGCTGCCAATCCTCCTCATTTTGCTGAGGAAGACTGGCCCTGAGCTAACATCCATGCCCATCTTCCTCTACTTTATATGTGAGATGCCTACCACAGCATGGCTTGCCAAGCGGTGCCATGTCCGCACCCGAGATCCAACCCTGCTAACCCTGAGCTGCTGAAGTGGAATGTGTGCATTTAGTCGCTGTGCCACCAGGCCGGCCCCAGACAAAAACCCTTTATTTGAAGGAAATTTCCCTTGAGAAGGAAACTTCTTGAGTAAAAGAAAACTTTAGCATCTAGATCAAAACAGAGTAGATAGAGATGTTGATATTCACTTGCACTATCCCTCCTTACTAACAAACAGTGAAGAATAGCTTTGTTTACCAGTGAAGACAGCAACCTACTCAGAAGCACAATATTTTTAAGGAGAAAAATAACAGAAGCTTGATTTAGAAGAAAGCTGGATGACCATCCTGTTCACCACTGTTGTAGAACAGGTTTTGAATCCCTGCTTTTTCCCACTTTCAAATTCCAATTCCAACATTGGTAAATAAAGATCTTTTAATTTTGTATCTTGGGATCTGGATGATATTGAAAATATGCACTTTTTTGTTTGTTTCTTGCTTATGAAAGCAGTAAATATTTGTCATGGAAAATTGTTACATGGATATAAAGAATAAGCCTTACTTTTCCTTAATCCTGGTATTTTACCAAGTTATCATAATATATATTGTTGTACCCTTTCTTTTTCATAAAAAGCTGTACAAAATGATTTGCCCTTTCTTTAACTGAGAACTCCTTCATTTTAATGTCTGTATAACATGCTAATGCAAAAAATCTGTCATGCGATAGTCACACTCTCCTTATGGTCACAGCCCATACACCCTTCAGGGAATCTAGGTACTTACAGCCAGCATATTGCCTGTGCCTAACCAGTTATTTAAATGCAGGAAGTCCGCACTTTGCACAGTGCTGTGGTAACTGGGAGCCATGCAAAGCAAGATCACATTTCCCCAGTCTGTACAGGTTCCAGTTTACCAGTACCATGCAAAATGAGGGCTGCTTGTGTTAATATATCACTTGTTTCCCTTTTCTCAATTATAAAATAAATCTTACTACGAAAATTTTCTCCAAAATTTCTTATTATGCCTTCAGCACATTCTTAAATTTGGAATTGCTGAATAAAAGTGTATATTTTATACTCTTAAAAGCACAAAGTGAAAATAATTTCCAGAGAAACTGTGTATTTTTATTTTTCTAACATCAACGTATAAAAGTGTCAGTCTTTTTTGAACTCTCTTAAATATAGATACTACAAAAAGTATCAATTCATATTTTTGATCACTAAAATTTTTATTCATCAATTTTAGCATTTTTACATTTTTATTAATTTTCAGTTCATAACCTTTGAAATGTATTTATATGTTGGTGTTTAACGCTTGAAGTGATTTCTATAAACTTACCATACCTTAATACTATCATTTTATTTGTGTGGCAATATCTTTGTCAAATTGTTAGGTGCTGCTTAATTTTAAATTATTTTATGGTCAAAATGAAGTAACTTTTCTATTTTGAATTTCTCCCTCTGCTATTAAGCTCAGAGACATTTTCTTCTGATTATTGAAATATTTAATATTCATTTTAATTCGATCAACAGAATTGTTTTCATGATTGAATGACTCACAGTTGAGGGATTATGTGTGGGCATATCACTTCTTTTGGGGGATAGCTGTTGGCAAAAAAAAAAAAAATCCAGTTAGGGATAAGATACTGTATTTAGATATCTTGGTTGAAAAATATTGCATATAGACATACTGGTATTGTGTAAAAATAAATGTTTGTGTAAAACCGTTAATAAAGAAACAACATTAATGTGCCAAAGTTATGTGCTTCTCTCCTCATTTATAAGCCACCAACACCTCTTTGTCTTTCTAGTAAAACAATTAACTCATCTATAAACTTTCATCCCTAAACAGTGCTCTCTATGGCCTCCACGTCTCACATCTCCTTGCTGGATCTGGGAACCAAGCTATAACAATATGATTATTGCTAAAATATCATTCCATATTTTTCAAATAATTTACTATGGCTATGTATTGTGTGTAGGTAAATTTGATATTTTTATGCTTGTGTATATACTTCATAAATTGAACTATTGTGTGCATAATTTCTAGGTTGAAAATAGTGGATAGCTAGAAGCATCTGATTTGCATTCTCCTAAGATAAATTCAAAAGGGAAAAATAATGAAGATGGAATTCCTCTGGTAGAAATTGAAATATTTAAAATCTACATTAATTATAAGAATTTGGCTTAAAATACATATATAGCTGGGCCAAAGAAAACAACAGAAATTGATGCATTTAGTGTACAATGAAGATGATATCACAAAGTAATGAAAAGTAAAGGGCTACTTAATAAGTAATAGAAGGAAATGGGTTGAATTGTGAGGGAAAATGTAATATACAGCACTACAACATACAACAAAATTGTATCTAGAATAACTCAAGATATCCCTATAGTATATGGACATGAAAAATCAATAACATAATATACATGCTTGTTTATTTAATTTTAATATGGACAAAAGCCACAAAACAAAACAAAAAGAGAGAATAATTTTCCGAATAAAAATGTAAATCTTCTTCATGTGAAGAATTATCAGAAACATGAACAGCAATCATCAAGCTTGTGTGTATCCTTCGTTAGATACATATTTCAATTCTTTTTCTGTTCAAATTAAAATAGAAACCTTTCCTAAGAATTTCAGTTGAGACAACAAAGAAGCAAATAATCTTAAATGATATTTCTTAATGTTTACAAAAGTACAGTGAAATGGTTACTTTCAAATGCTCTTTATCATAAGTGTAAATGGTTCATGCTTTCTGGAGAAAAATTTACTGTTAGAAAAATTTAGCAAGGGCTTTAAAAAATATTCAAAGCACTTAAGTCAGCAATTCCATGTTTAGGAATCTATCCCAGAGAAATGACCAGAATGATACGTACATAGAGATTTGAGTCAATCATAACAACGATAGGATACATCGATATGATGGAATGATGGTCTGCAAGATAAAGTAAGCAGAAAAAAATAAACCAAATGCAAAGAGTAACTCTCTTTTAATAGGAGATTGCAAGTAAATTTTACTTTTATTTCAAAACTGAAACTGTATTTAATTCCAAAAGTTAAAAATCTTTCAGTGTTTTTCAACTTGTTTTTCTACAATTGATAACGTAATATGTTTGTAATTAAATTCAAGTATGATTTAATTTCATGTATTATACCACATTAAAAATAACGTTCACTAAAAATTTTTAGTCTATATGAAAATACAAAGATTATACTCCCAAGTGAAAAATCAATGTTCATACCTGAATATGGCAAATGATTCCAATTTTGTTTTAGGAATTATAAGAATATAAATGTTTACCAATTTATTCAGGAAAAATATAACAAAATTCAAACAGAAGTTTCTGTTGGTTTAGGACATATCACTGATAAATGT